TATTGAGCGGTACCGACTTCAAGTTTTGCATGACACCCAAGATTACTCCTTCCCCTGGGTCATCGCTGTGTTGTCGAGCAAGGCGGTAGAGCGAGCATGAAGCACATTTATGCTGAACCAGTCGATGAAAGTAATCGACCGATCCAGGTGACCATTCAGGCCGTAGCTGAACACGGATTTGCCGATTGTAAAAGAGAGGAAATGTCAATATCAATTCACCCTTGACAAGTTGTTCGGGAGGCTGAATGGGAAACGGCTCGGTACCAAGCAATCCAGAGGATGAAAGAGATGAAAAGGACCGCGATGTTCCAATAGAAAGTTTTGATTGGTCCCATGCTTTGTTTCCCAAGCTATTGCTTCGAACAGAATGCGAAGTCACGAGTTCGTCCCATAAGGATTTGACGTTTCCATTCTTTGAGAGAGAACTTAGAGAAGTGTGAAGGTAATACTTTGCAAAGATCGTGCAAACCATCAGCCAAATCGCGACAAAAACAATCATCACCTTTGTCAAGAGAGAAACATTCATTGTCATAAGGTACAAAGAACAGTCACCTTAGCTTTTATCTACGTATATAACTGTGTCCAATGCTGTTTGTGTTCAATGGTTGAGGTTGTGATGAATTGTTTTGAAATGTAGAAAGGGGGCAGTCATTTTATACATTTCCTCCTCCCCTACATTTCCACCCCCTTGGGTATTGGTCCGACATCCAACCTCAATACCGCACCGTACATCGCAATATTACCGGTACCTATACATCGCAATACTACCGGTGCAAACCATGTATCGGTAGTTTTAATACCTAGTACATGCTAGTACTGTACCTATTTTTTGTATGAATGGTATCCATCAGCTTCTCTGGAAACGGAGAGCAGATTGAGCTGATCACAGAAGCAAGAGATGCTCTGGTCTAGTACTAGCAGTAAGAACGCCCCCCTTCTACCGGTATTACGCAGACCGGCTAGGAACGAGGGGATTGAATCCAGCATTTGCAACACCATATCCCTCTAGTAGCAACCAATTTCGATCAATTTATAGACAGACGCGGGCTATCAGGTACTAATACCAGGGTACTGCTCCACTACCGACAAGCCTCACAAACCGATTTCGCATGATCCCGCTCCTAACTACCAGCTGCAGTACCTGGTACCAGGTATATACCACCAGGCACTGCAACTGACTGGAACAGTTCAGTCATTGCAACAGGAAGAATATAAACCCGTCATCTCAAAAGAATCATCCCATATTTATATGCCAATGATATATATGCCAATGATAAATATGCCTACGTAATGAGAGAGACTGTTCCTCCGGTGTTATGTAATATTCCGGTAGGAGCAGACCCACCGGAAAATCGATCTTCAGTACCAGTTCCAACGTTCAAAGGTGATGAATTCTCAAAACCGGATGACCGCATTTTCCCGAACTATGTCCCTACTTCTTTCGTCACAGAACACTGCGCTCTTGACAACAACTTGCAACATGGTTTCCACTTCCACAAAAGGTATTCAACGAGATATGCCACCCCACGGAGGAATAAACGAACCATTTAAAGTGTCACCTAACAGTAGTCAGGATGACACAGTACCAACAGAGCGAGGGCGCAAGCTTTCGAAATTAAACCAGCTTCAGTCCGGTCTGAAGTCTGGTCTGAATCAGACCGGACAAGGTCTGAAGACTGGCCTGAATCAGACTGGACAAGGTCTGAAGAATAAGTTGCAGGCGGGCTCCAACATGTTGTTTAACCTTGGCGAGAAAGACCATGATGCATTGAAAGACGATGATT